CCAAGTGTTACAGAAAGTTCGAGGGCTTTGGGGGGAAAACCCACAGTGCATCAGCCTTTCATTTTTCCACTCACAACCGTGTGAACTTGAAAACCTCCTGATACCTCTACGCCTCTGTCTTCACGTTTAATACAACTAGTATTTACCGCTAGGCTTGTATCAAAGGGGACGCTGTATTCACAGTAGCTCACACTTACTCCCAGCTGTGGGCACCATCGCCCCGGCCACCTCTCCCCCAGACAGAACAGCAGACGCCTCGGGACGAGGCTGATGACCCCGCGCCCCGGCCCCTTTCATTCAGCGACGTGCAGTGGCATCCAGACTCACGGAGGGTCACCAAAGGACAACAATTGTTTCCACTCTTCAGCTTAGGCGTAGGTCCTTCCAACTCACACTCCCCGGCCCGTCACCGGGAAGTGATTTTCCCATGTCGGCCCTTACTTCCACTTTTAGCAACTCGGACGCACCCCTAGTAACGCCTTCTCAACTCCTCTTCGGCACCAACAACAAAACTTTCATCGGCCACACCGTTCCGAGTGCCTTCCGTGCGGAGCTAGGACCCGGGCACTCGGCTGCACAGCCCCTCCTCCCGCAGCACCCACGCACCGGCCCCGGTGGCCCCGGGCAGCCTCAGCGGCATGGCAACTCCCCCAGTCACCGCCGCACCGGCCCAGGCGGCCCTGAGGGGGCCGGCACGTGGCTGCACAGCAGCGCTCCAAATCTCGCTGCCGACGGCAACACGCCCCAGGTCGCAGGCTCCCAGCCCTCACCGCTGCCACAAGGACCCAGGCTGGGTGACGCTCCTCACCCCTTCCCACCGGAGGCGAGCCGTGACGACAGCCGGTAACGCCGATCGGTCCCATCCCGCTCAGCGCTCGCCACACGCCTCGCCCACACCAAGCTCCTGGTGGTCGTCGCCCCGCGCCCCCGCTCCCCTTTCCAAGCAGGGGTGTTTCCACGTGGTCCGGGAGGCTCACAGAAGTCCCCGACGAGCCCCAGATTCCACACGGCCAGTACCTGAGCGGCAGAGCCAGAAAGCCAGCCCGGGTCTGGGGGCCTGGGTCTCTGCCATCACCCCCACGGCTCTCCCCGAGCTCGGCGGGCAGCTGACAGACTGCCAGCGTTCGGAGGCTTCAGAAGTGCCCTCCGCGGCGGGACGATGGAGGGTTCGGCGTCGAGGAGGCAGGGTGTGGATCAGCAAGAACCCTTTGGATCTGTGAGGCTGTCTCACCCAGAGGACGGACTAAGTACCACGTGCGATGTTCTCCACGCACTGAACAGCAGCTCCCTTTGTACTCCCCAAATACAGGCGCGGCTGGCGTCGAGGCACAGGCGTGGTGACACTCGACTGGGCCTCGCCGGGCAGGTGTCCAACGAGGAGGGAGGCACGGGCTCTTGTCTCCTGGCCCAGGCCGGCCCAATGGGCTGAACATCGAAAACTCCAAATGCGGTCACGACGTCTGGAGGACTCCTTTGCCATGATAACTTCCTCCCTGCACTAAGCACGCAGAGAACTCAGGAAAGCCACCCAAGTGGGCCCGGCCGGCTGGAGTCTTCGCAGAGCTGAGAGCCTCAGCTGCTCGGTGCCACTGTGGGAGTCCCACTCCTGCTCCGCGGCCCACCTCAGAACCGCGTCCTCTGCCCTCCCATCCGCCCCCCTGCAGCCCGAAGCATCTGGTTCCTGCCTCTGCCAGCATCTGCCGCGTGCCCCGCGCCACCGTAAGGGCCACCGGGGCTGGGATCCTCCCCACAGACAGGTGCCCTACCTGCCACACGGCTGAGGGAGGGACTTCAGGGAGCACGGACACGGACGACCTGCCAGCACCACGAGGGGCGGGCGCCCTGCAGATCAAAGGCAACAAGAGCCACTGGGCCTCCGGGCAGGAGTCGCCGTGAGCGATTGAGCTGCACCCTGGAAAGCTCCATCGTGACAGTCCCTGGGCACACCAGTCAACTCGGTGCCAAGACACCAGAAAGTCCCAGCACATACAGAGGCCGTGCGGTGTGGCGGCCAAGAGCCCAGGCTTGGGCGTTAGCGTCCGAATCCCACCTCCCCTGTGATCTTGAGCGAGTTATTCAACGTCTCCTCACCTCTTGTTTTTAAACTGAGATACAACTGGGGCCCCGGGGTGGCTCAGTCGGTTGAGCACCCAACTTCGGCTCAGGTCATGATCTCGCGGTCCGTGAGTTCGAGCCCCGCATCGGGCTGTGTGCCGACAGCTCGGAGTCTGGAGCCTGCTTCGGATTCTGTGTCTCCCTCTCTCTCCGCCCCACCCTTGCTTGTGCTCTCTCTCTTTCAAAAATGAATAAACATAAAAAAAAATTTTAAACTGAGATACAACTGACACATAACAGCCTACCAGTTGTAGGTGTACAACGTGAGGATTTGACGCACTGTGACGTGATCCCCATAAGCCAAGTTCACGTCAATCACCATTTGGAAAGCATTGCCAGCTTTTCTTCTCGTCACGAGAACTGAAAAAGAGGCGACCCGGCGCTGACAACTGTAGTCCCCAGGAGTCTCATCTCATGTCACCTGCAAGATTTGGACATGCCGACCCTGTGGAGTGGCCGCAGAGATAAAGTGAGAGGCAGGTGTGAAGTGTTTGGCACGGTGCGTGGGACCCGGAAAGCACTCAACCAACCGAGGCGGTCGTGAGGGTGGAGGGGACACAGAACTCCAGAATCCGGAAGTTCTAACATGAATACTACAGTCTCCTTTTCCACCCCGTCATCTGCCTCATCATAAAGATACGGCACGTCTGAGCTTCTCAGCGGGTCCCACAGACCGAATGTTGGGGTTCCCTCAAAATTCCCACGTTGAAACTGAACCCCCAAATGAATGGTCTTAGGAGGCAGGGCTTTGGGGAGGCAATCGGGTCATGAGGGTGGACCCCCCTGAGTGGGATCAGTGCCCTTACAGAGGGGACCCAGAGAGCCCCAGCGCCCTTCCACCACAGGAACACACGGCAAGAGGACACCCTCTGGAAGCCAGGAAGCGGGCCCTCGCTGGACACTGAATCTGCCAGCACACTGATCTTGGACTTCTAGCCTGCACAGCTCCAGAAATCGATTTCCGTTATTTGCCAGCCACCTGGTCTCCAGTATTCTGCTACAGCAGCCTGAACAGACTGACACAGAGGGCCACTCTTCAAGAACCGGAAAATCCAGGGGCGCCTGGGTGGCTCAGTCGGTTAAGCGTCCGACTTCGGCTCAGGTCATGATCTCGCGGTCCGTGAGTT